AGATGTGTATAAGAGATAAGTTATAAGCAGTTTCTTGAAATTTTTTAAAAAATTCTTTTGTCTTAGTTACACGACTGATCTTTTGTTTTTGTTTACATTACGCCTGATCTTAAATTTTAATTGGATAAAATTGGGGGTTGTTACAAATAAGACGCGTAACAGGCTGTTACAATTAGATTTATCCTTTAAAAAAAATGAAAATATTAAAGTACTCAATCAAGAATCGAAATAAATAAAAAAAATTTTTTTATTTCCATTGTGTTTATAAAAGTGATAATCGCTATCATTTCTATCATTTTCGGCGAAACATCCCTTCGGCGAAATGTACCGTAACCATTTAAATTCACAGACACTCTGACAGCTTACAGACATTTTTACTTGTTTTTATTGTTTTTCGTAGTGCCTTTTTTTTTACAAAAATGGTTTAAAAGAATACTACTGATAATTTTTTTATAGTTTAAAAATTTTATAAGAATAGGAGTTAAACAGGTATTAACTGAAACAGAAGGAAATCTTTGTATTACATATTTAGAAAGTACAACAGGAAAAACTAGGCCGATTTATGCAAACAACAAAACTTCATTATATTATTACTTAATATAGAAATATAATAGGAATTTATATTTTTAATTATCACTTCAATTATGTAGTTGTAGGCAAAACTTTCATCGTCATTGTTCCAAGAAATTTTTATTTTTGAAAGGTTAGAACTTAAGTTATTTACTTTAAAATGATCTGTTTAAATCTTTAAATTTCAAATGCATGTTAATATTACACTGGATGGATTTTTTTTTTCGAGTACTAAATTTTCAAATTCTTTTTAATAAGGGTGGCATACTGTTTTAGTTTAATCACATCGAATGCACAATACATGTGAAAGAAAGAAAGCAATGTTAATTATTTCTTAAAACGGCTTTCCCCTGCGTAATATTGAAAAAGAAAATGCATTTTGGCGTAACCACGTGACTTTAATATGTACAGGGATGAATCACCATATTCTTATTTTCTATTGATGCAGGGTTGTTGTGAAAAACAAATTTGTGTTTGTGTCCCGTTCTATTCATATCTTTCTTTAAATACGCTAAGAATATTAATACGCAAAAAATTTTTTAATAAATTTTTTCCTTCGAAATTTCTAGTATCTACTGCATTAATGTTTGAATATAATAATGTCAAAAAATATTTTTTATTATGGATATTACTTCAAGTATTAGTTGATGTAAATTGTCAATTAACACCCTTTAAGCCAAGTAGAATATACCGTCATACTGCCACGTTCATTGATAATAAATTGTACATTTTAGGTGGTAGTGAAGCATCAACCAACAATCTAGTAAAAGAATTTTTTTATCTTGATGTTTCCATTCCATTTAATACTCAGGAATTATCATGGAAAGATTTATCAAAAATTAGTATAGTTCCGTTTCATAATGATGCAATGTCAGCTAAAGGTGGTGCAAAAAATGATACTTTATTTTTATATGGTGGATTTACAGATGTTTTAACAATGGCATTAGTTTATACATTTGACCCACAACATAGTGTATGGAATAGTCAAGAAATAACTGGAATTAATACAATTAGAAAATCTAGTTTAACAGGAGTGATAGATTATAATGGAAAATTTTATTTATGGGGCGGAGTAACTAGTAATAATATTATTGTAAATAAATGCTTATTTTAGATACAATAAATTTTAGTTGGGGAAAAGGAAGTTCAGTTAATGCACCAACTAAGAGATATTATTATGGTGCTACTTTATTACCCAATAATAAGATTATTTATATAGGTAAGCAAGTAATATTCTTAGCATATTTATTTCTTACGTGTTTTGTTTATTTCACTAAAAAAATTTTTTATTTAGGTGGTGTGGATGATCTTACTTCCGCATTTGATGCTGAAACTTTATATATTAATAAAGGTACTGCTTTATCATTAAAAGAGGTAATTTTGTAAATGTAAACGTAAACTTACTGTATATAAAAAGATTTCTAGAAATATTAAAATAATTTATTTATATAGGTTTATATATATGATACAATTAATGACAATTGGGACACAAAAGTAAGTTATATAAATTACTATATGAAAATTTTTATTTTTAGTATAAATTAACTTTTTATTAAATTTATAAAGATAACAACAGGAAAAATTCCTTCTAATAGAGATGGTTTCTCTACAATTCTCGGTATGTAACAGGACCCAGAAATATATATATAGGGGTCAGGTGATGAAAAAAATTTTTTACTATGAGCTGTATTTTTTCAGGGCCGGAATTATGATAATGTCAGTCGGATACTATAATAGGAAATAAAATTCTGACCGGCATTATCAGAAATTATCTAAAAAAGGAAAGATTTTCATGATTTTTTTAGTTCAAAATACGCAAACTCAAACCTGACCCTTTTATATATATTTCTGGGTCCTTATGTAACTAAACAAAAATATTATCATCATTATTATAAATTTGAATATTAATAACAAATGTAATTATATTTATAAATAGGTTTAGATGGTCAAAGGATCATAATTTATGGAGGAGTTTTTAATGATCCTGGTGGATATGTAGATACTACACTTTATGTATTGGATTTAACAAATTTTAATTGGGATATTCCAAAAATCACTGGAAATACTATTCCAAAGCCCAGAGCTTGGCATAAAGCAAATGCTATTAGTAAATATATGGTTATAACATTTGGTAAATATAATTTTTATATATCATGTTTTAAGCAAATTAATTATTTTTAACAAAAAAAACAACTAATTTTAATAGGGTATGGTTATAATAGAGCAGTTGATAGTGATATATTATTACTTGATATTAGTAATAATGAAGAATATGTATGGACAACATCATTTGATCCTTCAGTTCCAAAATCATCACAAACATCCAATAATTCATCAGATAATTCTAAGATGGTTGGTGCAATTGTAGGATCTTTATTAAGTGGTATTTTCTTATCAGTTGGAGGTTTCTTTTTATATAAATGGAATAAAAAAAGACAAAGCCAAAATAATATTAATAATTATAATAATTACGGTCAAGAAAAGGCAGTACCCACTGATGGTTCTAAAAATGAAAATATGACCAACCATGAAGTAGTAAATAATGATGATTATTATGGACAAGAAGTAGTTACAGCACCTAATAACGATGGGTTTAAATTCTTCAAGTTCTTAAATAAAAAATAAATTATTCAAGCAGTTAAAGAGGATAATTTTAATAATTACAAAAAATAATGTGACAAGATTAAAATTAATGATCAATTAAAAGTGAAATAATCCTTTTAAGTCTGCAATCACATATTTATTAAACCATAAATTTTACTTTTATTTGATGAATATTATAATTATTAATTAAAAAATTAGGCTCCATCCCCTGTACAAAATACTTTTTATGTAAATTATGTAGAAATCAATTTCTTTATGTGCTAATTAGTGATAAAAAGATTCATATTAAGTATTATTATTTTAAATGATGTAATAACAATCACTTTTTTTATAATTTTATATATTTAGTTTTTAATAAATTCATCATTATTATCAAAATGAAAATAACATGCTACTGGTACTTCATATTCTATTTTTTTTTTTTAAAAAAAAAAATGATTTGTCATAAAAATTTTATTATAACTTGGGTTAAATTTATAAATAACCAACGATAAAATTTTATTCATAAATTCATTAATCAATTTGTGTTAGCATATTAAAAAAAATTATAATATATTTTAGAAATGAATAAATGATTATTTGCATAGAAAGTCTCTCAATTTTCGGCCTTAAATTTTTTAAACCTTCAATTCCTGTATAATTGACAAATCGTGTTACACCAAGAATTAGGAATTCGACTCAGCTCGTGATTTCTTATATGTTTTGACATAAAAAGTACATAATTTATATTTTATAGAATTTATTTTATTTTTTTTTACAACAAAAATTCTTTATTATCTAGGCCAAGCCGATTTAGTTAACTGATTTACAAAACACCATGTTCTGGGAGTGTTTGTCAAATGGCGGAATGATTAATGTTGGTCAGCACTATAATTCTGGCCTACATTACTATATTAAAATAAGTATGATACCTAGAGGAAGATGTAAAGAAAAGGGGATTAAAAAAGATATAATAAAGAGACCTAAACAGAGAGAAGATAGACCTAAAAAAAGACGAAAAAAATAAGATAAAACACCACACACCAAACTCACACCCAAACCCAACCCCACACAAACCCGCACTCCCAACCCACACTCCCAACCCACATACTCTTAAGGAAGACGTAAAGAAAAGGGCTTAAAAGAAGACCTAATAAAGAGAAGACCTAGACAGAGAGAGGATAAACCTAGAAAAAAAATGAAAAAAAGGATGACAAAAAAAAGACGAAGAAAAAAAGAGGTATACTTTTCGAAGATAGATACTTGTTATGACAATAGGTACTTCATTAGCAGTTAGGGAGTAAATAAATTGATTACATAATACTATGACACCTTTTTACATAATATCTTCCGTTTCTTCCGACTGTTTTTTACCACCTTGCTTTTCTATAAAATATTGGAATGATGAAAAAAAGTGTCAAAATTACATTAGAGTTGTCAAAATGACCGAATAATTTTAATGATTGTTTTTTACGGAAAGTTCTGATAGATGGCCTAAATAACGTGAATAACGTCATTTTGACTTTTTTTTTTAGGCCATATTAAAGTACACTAGTCCGTATTAGATTCCAAAAAAATGTTATTTTCCTTATGAAATTAAATAAATTAATGCAATTTATAGTAGATTTTCACATAATTTTATTAATTCCTAAAATTCTTTGTATGTCATATGAATAAAATTAGTTAATGAATAAAATTATTTATGATAATAATAAAACTTATTTTTATTGACGTAAAAATTATATATCTATATATATATATTATATATTTTGCGTGTAAAGTGACTGTAAACTATCAAATTATTAATTACTTATTGATTTCCAAGGTTATATTATTTTGCGGACTAGATTTATTTTTGGCTTTAAACAATACGTTTATAACGTTTGGTATTCTCAAACCTAAATTGCCATCATGGTTGAAGAATTTATGCGACATAAAAAAAATGATTTTTCCTTAAATTTGTGATTACTAATGATTATTATAAATTATTCTGTAAAAAAGTTTAAATTTGAAGTAAACATTAAAATTTCCTTTAATTTCCTTTTTTCTGATTATAGGAGTATTATAGGGGGTAGTCACAAGTCACAACTATGAAAAGTGCAAAATTCTGTATGGGATGGCGTCCAATTAGTTTTAAATCGGTGAGATATAACTTTCTATTACAGACGAAAGAGTGATAAAGTTTGTGTGCAATAACCCGTACTTCATTTATTAATACTTGATCTATGTAAAAATTGACATTACGATCCATTGCTAGGTCACGCAAAAACTTGCAGGTATAATATATACTCGATAATTTAACGACTTTTATTTTTAACGTTACTTAAGATATACTTAAGATATCATAAAAAATATTCTATTTAAATACTACATACTTTAATATGAGGTGACCAACTTGGTCAATATGTTATCTTAGAAAAATTTCGCATGAAAAATAATAAACGAGAGAATTAAAATACTTGCCAACACAGGGAACCGAAAATTTAAAATAAATGTTTACTTTGATAGAATATTTCTTCCTTTCACCTTATAAAAATTTATTGTTGGTTTTTTAATAATTTTTATAATGTATTGAATAAGCTTCCTCAAAACTTACTAGCTCACCTTTATACTCCTAAGATTACAAAAATTTTTATATTTAATATATAAAAAAACGCGGGTATTAAGTTAACCTTTATCAAAATTTTTTTTTTAAAAATAAAAGTAGTCACGTGATGTCAGTAACACGTTATTTATGTTATTATGTTACAAACCCTATTTGGCACATCCGTCCTTAACACCGATGCAGGGGTAGTTCTCCAACGAACTAAATAATTGTTTCGAAATAAATATTTGAATGTGTTTGTGTGTTCCGTTCCATTCGGATATTTCTTTTAAGACTAAGCGTAACGCTGAAGACATAAGACATAATAAATACGCCAAAGATATTAAAAAAAAATATTTTCCTTAGAATATAGCTTCTATTACATTAAGTTATTAATAAAATATAGTCATGTTAAAAAATTCTTTGGCTAATTTTACTCTATTATGGATGCTACTTCAAGTGTTAGTTGAAGTAAATTGTCAAATGACGCCCTTTAAGCCAAGTGCACTAAACTGTCATACTGCTACATTCATTGATAATAAATTGTATATTATGAGTGGTTGGTCAACAAACTTATTTAAATCAGTAAAAGAATTTTTTTATCTTGATGTTTCAGTTCCGTTTAATACTCAAGAATTATCATGGCAAGACTTATCCAATATTAATATGGTTCCGCCACATGGTTTTGCAACATCAGCTAAAGGTGGTGTAAATAATGATACACTATTTTTATACGGTGGAGAAACACTTACTAATCAAGCGATGGAATTAGTTTATACGTTTGACCCACATCACATAATATGGAATCCTCAAAAAATAACTGGAATTAGTACAATTAGAAAATCGAGGATAACAGGAGTTATGGGCTATAATGGAAAATTTTATTTATGGGGCGGAATTACCTATGAAACTATTCTAAATGATATGCTTATTTTAGATACAATAAGCCTTAATTGGGAAAAGGGAAGTTTAGTTAATGCTCCAACTCCGAGAATTTTTTATGGAGCTACTTTATTGCCCAACAATAAGATTATTTATATAGGTAAGCCAGTAATTTTATGTCATGTCATTTTTTGTTAATTTTATTAATGAACACTTAATGCTTAGGTGGTTTGAATGTTGATATTGGATTTGATAATGTTACTCTGAATATTAGTAAAGGAATTGCTTTATCATTAAGTGAGGTAAATTTTGTAAATGCACTGATATTTAAGTTTTTTTTTCAAAAAACAATTAATAAAATTATCTTAGGTTTACTTATATGATATGATTAATGACAACTGGGATGCAAAAGTAAGTTACACAAATTATGATGAAATTTTTTATATTCATATGTGAACTAACTTTTTATTATACTTAGATAACAACAGGAAAAATCCCTTCTAATAGATGTGGCTTTTCCTCAGTTCTTGGTATGTAATTAAATAAGAATATTATGATCATTTTTTAAAAGTTGAACATTAATTATAAATTTTATTATTTTTAATAGGTTTAGATGGTCAAAGAGTCATAATTTATGGAGGAGCTTTTAATAATCCTGGATATTTAGACACTGCACTTTATGTATTAGATTTAACTAATTATAATTGGTATATTCCGAAAATTTCCGGAATAATCCCAAAACCAAGAGTTTTTCATCAGGCAAACGTAATTGGGAAATACATGGTTATATCATTTGGTAAATATAAATATTTATAATATAAACTTTGATTGGTTATTAGTATCATTTAACAGAAATAATATTAATATTAAATAGGAATTGGTTATGATAGAACAGTTGAAAGTGATATATTGGGGGTCTTCACAAAAAACGTGATTGAGATTGAGATTGAGATTTCATATAGAATTTTCAATCTTAATATGTTAGTAAGATTGAAATTCTATACTAAATTTCAATCTCAATCTCAATCACGTTTTTTGTGAAGACCCCCATTATTACTTGATATTAGTAATAATGAAGAATATGTATGGACAACAAAATTTGATCCTTCAGTTCCAAAAACATCACCACCACCTTCATCATCACCATCACCATTACCATCACCATCACCATCTCCTTCTCCTTCTTTACCATTACCATCATCATCACAACTATCCAATAGTTTATCAAATAACTCCAATAGTAATCATATGGTTGGTGCAATTGTAGGATCTTTGATAAGTGGTATTTTCTTATCAGTTGGAGGTTTCTTTTTATATAAATGGAATAAAAATAGACAAAATCAAAAAATAATTAATGAGAATAATAATCATAACAACGAAGAAAAGGCAATGCCCACCGAAAGGGATATTCATGATTATGATCAAGCAATGGGCAATAACGAGCAAGAAATTATTCAAATGCCTAGAAATGAAAATTACGAATCGATAATAATCCCGGCTAACGATCATCATGGGCAAGAAATTATTCTAACACCCAAAAATGAAAATACAACCAATAATGAACCAATAATAGTTCCAGATACCGAATATCATGAGCAAGAAATTATGCAAACGCCTAAAAATGAAAATACAACCAATCATGAACCAATAATTTTGGCTTCAACAGAAGCTAATAATTATAATAATTATGGGCAAATAATTTCAACATCTAGTAATGATAGGTTATCATCACAAATTCTTAAAGATGAAATTCTTCAGGCTGTTAAACAAGAAATTGCCCAAACTTTGAAAAATGAACTTTTTCAAGTTGCTAGGGATAATAATATTAATATTACGAAAATTAATGCAAAACAAGATTAAATCAACCATAAATTTCTTTTAAAATAGCAAATTTTATGTACTAAAACAAAATATAAAAAGAATGCGTATCTAAGTTAGAAAATCGATTATAATAATGTAATAACGAATTTTTTTTAAAGAAAAATCATACACAACATATTCTACTTTGGATTTCCGTTTCCTAGTTCTAAAGTTTTTTTTTTACTACAGTCAACGTCAACCCCCTATATAGTCACACCCTTACCCTTTCGGGACCAAAAAAATTGGTATTGATTATAAAAATACTATATGGTGTGACAAAAGGGGTTTTTTTAATAAGCTTATTAATAACTTGTGCCAATGTAAATGTGCTTATAAGGGCGTATGGGACTATATTTGGGTGACTATAGAGGGGGCCGACTGTACACAGTATACTGGTATAGTACGATGTAACAAATTTATTTCTCGTGTGACTTTTCTGCAACGATGATTTTTTTTTTTAATAATGTATTATAATGATCGTTCAATAAAGTATCTACCTAATAAACTAACTATAACTAATCTATATGTATATAAAAAAAAGAAAAAAAGACAAAAATAACAATACTACAAATAGATGAAGAAAACTTTAAATTTTGGAATCTTTTACGTGAAATCACGTGCCTTCAAAATAAACCCATCTATTTATACTTATCCTTAATTCCTAATCTTTTTCATTTCTCTTCGACCCTCCATCTTTTCTTTATTACTTTATCCTTCGGACTGTTCTGTAATCTCTTTTCACACTCACTAACTAAATCCTTATCCCGATTTTCATCCTTAAGCCGTTTGGTGAATTTTTCGTTCAACGTAGTGTATTTTTGAATGACTTCATGTCGTTCTGCCATACGTATGATTTCTACACCAAATACTAGTTTATAGTTTTCTCTCCTTTTTTCTATTGCCCTCTGACTAATGTCATGTTCTCCGATTCCTATACTTTGTGTAACGCCGCAAGTTCTATAGCTTTCCATTCAATTTTATCGCCTATTTCTTCAAAAATTCTTCCAAGTTCCTTGATCTTTTTATCTAAATTTTCATCGCTGCAAGAATATTACTTAGTAGATGAGGTCTAATAATACAGTTATTGGTTAATTTGCAGGGACAAATATCGTATAAGATCCCCTCTAAATTATCGATTATAGCAAAAACCAATTTGTTACACGTTACTTTGTGTTTTATTACTTCCTTGACTTACAAGATTAAGCAATGCTCTATTTGCAGCAGTAAAAGATTATGGTAAGCCCGTGTTTCTTGTCCTTAATTTTGCTTTAAAAGAAAATTATAGCATGTAAATCAAACATCGGAAACTTTTTAAATCAGCGTTCAGATTTTCTATCTGAAGTAATCTTAAAATGTAATATCGTGTTAGCGTTTAAATTTATACATATTTTTGATCACAAGCTTTATTAAATCTTTGTAATTTCAAAGTTCAATCCAAAACCATTATTTTATGTTTTAATAAGCGTATATCGAAGGTACAATATGCATGTGGAACAGTGGAAGTGTTGTTAACAAATAAATAATGTGCACAAACGGCGCGGCTCGGTCCGATGTTTTGCATCAAATTAAATACTGCTGTTACGAAATAATTTTGGGTTGTGTTCCGTTCCCACAAACCTCTTCTTAGTTATAATCGTAGTGTTAAAATATACTAATAAATATGGAAAGATTTTTTTAATAAATAAATATCGCTCAAATATTTATTTTTAGTTTCTACTAATACATTAAGTTATTAATATATCATGCCGGAACTTACCAGTCCACTACATAATAGAGCACATTAGTTTGCTAGATGATTCATAACATCCGGAATGTTGTTTGACATTTGTCTCTTTTGCCTAGTTTTAACTTTAACAGTCTTATCATTAGTTCTTCACTACTAGTTGGTACCAAAACGAATTTCTGTCCTTAGCTTATAAATGATGTTTGTTACAAAAGAACTAAGAAAAATCAAATGGCTTTGATGATCAAAAAAGAAAGTTATATTATTTAATGTTGTTTGACATTCCATTAGATTCAGTTGGTCGATGAAAATCTATTTAACTTTGTTTTAAGTTTCGAAAATTAATATTGTTTTTGATTATTGACATATTGTAATAACTACAGCGTCATCTATAAATGTACCTCTAAATACTTTATCATTTTTATATAGAAAAAATTTTCTTTTTCAAAAAAAATAAATGCTGCGGAATCTCTTTGAAAAACGGTAAAAAAAAATTCCTCAGAAAATATGATCAATATCTATTAATGATGGAATGTATACTTATTTTTCAGCGCTTATTTTTATTTTTTTTTAATGATAATTTTGTTCTAGGAAGTTTATTTAATTTTATAAAACATCAACGTTATACTATACAGTATATTGATTATAATATTACAATATAGCAATTTACAGAAAATGATTTTAACTTTTCCTATCAATAAATAGGTTATACTGAGTCACCTTAAAATTATCAATACAGAAAAATGTTACGTGAGGAAATAAGATCTTTACGTTTTTATAGCAAGCATCGGTTATTACAATATTTACATAATACTTCTGATTTAACAATAAATTTTGCATACAAAAGTGACAAGTAAATTGTTATACCATTTAAAATTTTTATTTTCAAAAATATTATGATTTGTGTAGCTGCAAACAAAACTATTTTTATTTTTTGAACGATAAGTAATATGATTGTCTTGGAAACTTTCAAAGTCAGTAATATTCAAGTTAGTTATCTACTTGAAAAAACTTGTTTAAATAAAATGCATGTTATATTGTGTTTAAGGTTTTAAAGTCTTTGTTTATGTTGTAGTCATACTTGAAAACAAGCTTGGAAAAATGATCAACTATTTAATTCGAACAATTTGTTCTTGAACAAAATCAATTTATTAAACTTCTCAAATTCTTGAGAATACATCGAAAAATGCGTTTTGGGGTAACCACATGACTTTAAAAAAAAAATCACTATTGCGTCACTTTTGGCTGGAATTATGGCGACATTAAAGAGTGGCTCATATGGTCACGCGATAGTGAAATTTGTGACCGTCACATGCCAGTAACACGGTTGTTTAATTTGGCACGTCCCGTTCCTTGTCCCGACGCAGGGGGCAGTCTTCCAACAAACTAAATAATTGTTTCGAAATAAATATTTAAATAAATAAATTTTGTTTGTGCGTCCAATCTATTCAGAACTTTCTTTAAGACTAAGCGTAACACTGAAAATATAAATACGCCGAGATATATATATATCTTAAAAATTATTTTCCTTCGAATATTGGTTCTACATATTAGCTAGGTTATTAAATGAAATATAATCAATCATGTTAAAAAATTCGTTGGTTAATTTTACTCTATTATGGATACTACTTCAAGTATTGGTTGAAGTAAACTGTCAAATGACGCCCTTTAAGCCAAGTGTAGTATGGTGTCATACCGCTACACTCATTGATAATAAATTGTATATTTTGGGTGGACTTGATTTAAGTAACAAACCAGTGAAAGAATTTTTTTATCTCGATATTTCTGTACCATTTGATACTCAACAATTATTATGGCAAGACTTAACTAATATTAATTTGGTTCCAGCACATTTTGATGCAACATCAGTTAAAGGTGGTACAAATAATGATACACTATTTTTATACGGAGGGGCTACACTGGTTCAAACAATGGCGTTGGTATATACATTTGATTCACAAAATATTGCATGGAGTATTCCAAAAATAGCTGGAATCAATACTAGAAAATCTCGTTTAAGTGGGATTATTAATCGTGACGGAAAGATATATTTATATAGCGGACGTACTGCTAATGATATTGCAAACGAAATGCTTATTTTAGATACAATAAATCTTGATTTAAGAAAAGGAAGTTTAATTAACGCACCAACTCGGAGATCTCATTATGGCGCCACCTTATTACCTGATAATAGGATTATTTATATAGGTATGCAAGTAATATTTGTAATACATTCATTTTTATATACACACTTTGTAATGAAAATTTGTTGTTTAGGTGGTATAACCATGTATTTTCCAATTAAATTTGCTTCATGATAAGCTCTAGGACTTGGAATTTTTCCAGAAAATTTTGGAACATACCAGTTATAATTTTTTAAATCTAATACATAAAGTGTAGTATCTAAATAATTAGTATTAATAATGTATCCTCCAAAAATTATGATTCTTTGACCATCTAAATCTATTGAATTGCAATTAGATTTATAAATTAATAATCGATTATTCAATCTTCGATAATTTTCTTATTTAATTGCATACCAAGAATTGAAGAAAAACCACCTCTATCAGAAGGTATTTTTCCTGATGTTACCTAAATTTAATAAGTTACAATTCAAAAAATTTTTCATTATAATAATAATTTATAAAACTTACTTCTTTGCTCCAACTATCACTAATTGTATCATATATGTAGACCTAGAATATAAATAATATATTTGATTAATTGGTTTTGAAAATTTTTACGTTAGTAGTAATCTATGTTCACAACTTTACCTCACTTAATGGTAAAGCAACATCAGATATGGTAGTTTCACTCATATCATTTGGTAAGTGTAATATCATATGTAAACTTGGATTGTTTATTACTATTTTAACAAAAATTTTATTAATCTTAATAGGGATAGGTTATAATAAATTCAGTTAGTCGAAAGTGATATTTTATTACTTGATATTAGTAACAACAAAGAATATATATGGACTACAAAATTTGATCTTTCAGTTCCAAAAACATCACCACCACCTTCATCATCATCATCATCACTATCACCTTCTCTACCATTACCATCATCATCACAATTATCCGATAGTTCATCAAATAACTCTAATAGTAATATAGTTGGTACAATTGTAGGATCTTTGTTAAGTGGTATTATTTTCTTAACAATTGGATGTTTCTTTATATATAAATGGAATAAAAATAGACAAAACCATAAAACAATTAATGTAAATAATAATTATAATAACTACAGTCAAAAAGAACAGGATATTCACGATTATGAACAAGCAATAGATAATAATGAGCAAGAAATTATTAAAATGCCTAGAAATGAAAATACAACCAACCATGAGCCAGTAATAGTAGTTCCAGCTAATGATTATCATGGGCAAGAAATTATGCAAACGCCTAAAAATGGAAGTTCAACCAACAATGAACCAATAATTCCGACTTCAGCAGTAGCTAGCGATAATAGTAATAATTATAATAATGGTAGGTTATCATCACAAATTCTTAAAGATGAAATACTTCAAGCTGTTAAACAAGAAATTAAAAATGAACTTCTTCAAGCTGTTAGGGATAATAATTTTGATATTACAAAAAAAAAAAATAATGCAAGACAAGATTAAAATCAATGGAATTTTTATGTACTAAAGCAAAATATATAGTTAAATATTATTTTCAATAATGTAACATTGAATCCAATTTTTTTTAAAATAACTTATACAATATGTTTACCATTACTAAAGAGTAATGACGGGTTACTATACTTTTAAAAATTAACGTTAAATTTCGATAAAGAATTCCGTATCAATTTGCACCAAAATGTATTATAACTTGTGTAAAATTATACAATTTATCCTTATCAAATGAATAACCAGTGGTAAAATATATTCATAAATTTACTAATATATTGTAAAACAAGTTGTTAGAAAGTTTACTGGAAAATAATGTAGAGAAAGACATATGATTATTTGACAAAAAATAAATAGAGCTTCCGGTAAATTTTGAGACCGAGTTAATTCTGATGGAATTATAAATTTTTGATCTTAATTCTAAATTTTTTCACAGCATTGATCAATGATCATCGATTCGGTTATATCATGTGACAAGATCAGATTTTCGGATCATCGCAACGGATCAAAAAAAAAAGAAAATCTTTGTATTATATCGCAAGCTATCGTCGACAAAAAGTTGATGCCCATGACGGATGTATGATGTTTAGACATCACGCTGGTTGATGTTTGGATATCTATTGGACATAAAAGTTGATGTTTAGACATCATTTAACATGATGTCAAAGATATCAATATTATATAATTATAGACATCATGCTAATCATAATTACCATATATAGTTAGTTTTTATTTATGGTAAATTTATCGATTTTCTGGAAGAATTTTTAATTTTTTATAACCATTTCTAGTAATTTAGTAAATTTTATAATTTTCTGAATCAATTTATTTTTTCTTTTAATTACTGAATCAGATGATATTTGTGATTAAAAGTGGGTGTAAAAATTTTAAAAATCGTTCCAGAAATTGGTATACTATGGAAAGCCGTCCTTGACAACAGGTTGATGTCCAAACATCATAATTAATAATATCTAGACATTCATGACTGGATAATGTCTAGATATCAACTTTGACATATTATGCCCGGACATCAACCTTTTGTCAACATATTCGACATCATGTTTAAATGATGTACAAACATCATCCTACATATACCCGGCATATGTCTAGACATTGTTAATATGAATATATGATGTCCTGAACATGATGTATAATGTTTGGACATTATGCTCGGATATCATGTCTGGATAATGACCTAGACATCACCTTATGAAAAAAATGCGTCCAGAACTCATCCTGAACTTGTCCAGAAAATAAGTAGACAAATTCCTAATATTTGATAGTATGTCCGGAAATGTTCCAAAACATGCGTGTTTCTGGATGTTTGGAATATGTCTGGGTTCAGTTTAGTCCAAAATTTGTCTGGAATTTGAACAATCTGATTTTATCTCGAATGCAGATTACCACCGACTATCTACAATTATCTAAAGTTAAAACTAACATCATAGATAGTATTTTTCAAATTTACTTATTACGCCAGGGGGAGGTTTAAACATCAGTTTTGAGCTTTTTGCATTTTTTTTAATTTCCACTTTTAGAAATAATGTCCAGAATATGTCCAGGATTTTTCATGTCTGGAATATGTCTAGTAAATAATCTGAATTTACATGTCCGGAATTGGTTGGCTATATTTATTTTATGTACAAAAAAACTGGACAAATCCTGGACATGAAAAATTCCGGACGACAAAGTAAATCATTTTTCTGGACATTTTCAAGACAATTTTTTGAAACACTGGGACATTTTCGTTGTCATTTTCCGGATATTCCTTCTTCATAGGGTCAACTTTAATATATCTGACATAATGTACGGACATCATCCTTTTATCAACGATGGCTTGCGATATGAATGATCCTACCGAAAAATAGTAGCCGGATTTATATGCCGGGTACACATGCCAGTTACACGTGATTTTGGAACATCAATATAATCGGATAATCGGTTTCTAAACAAAATATATTTTTCTTTCTTTCATTATAGCTTTTATAAACTCACTTATATTTAACTATGCCAAGTCAACAATGTAAAGCTTGTAAAGGGTGTCATGCATGTTCTTCGAAATCATAAAGAATTTCTGCATGAAAAAAGTGTTGCTTTAAAAAAGTGCTTATAATGTCGAAATAAAATTAAAATTGCACGTTCAAATAAAAATATCAAAATTACTATCATTTTTCCTAAATCGGGGACAGTCAAGAACTCGATTATTTTGTCATATTTTGATTGATTGATATTATCGAAAAAACTCATTACATGATGAGAAAAGAATACAATGATTACCTTGACATATTCTTAGGATTTCGTGATACTTACAATTTTGATTTTTTGCTAAAAAAATAACTGTAAAATACTTTTTATCGTTTTATTTGATATATTTATAGTTTTCCTTTGTTTAATAATGATTTTAAACTTTATTTAATAATTTATAACTTCCTAGTTTTTTGTATGGACGAATCTTTTGTTCAAATTCTTCGACAATAAGCTAAAAAAATCTAATGCGCCATGAAAAAAATTCGGTGAGATTCATTCGAACGTTTGTATTAAATATAATGTTTATTTCTTATAATTATTAATGATCCCATCAGACATCCAACAGAATACATTGGATGATTATTAACGAAACGATATACAGTACTTATTTATTAAATATACAGTACAAAGTGTTTGAATATGTAATTCATTAAATAAGTTATTGAATTAAGTATTTTTATTTTTACATCGATAACCATTGGTAATTTAATTTTATCTTTGCATCATAAAACCTACAATTCCTTGATATAGCCTCTAGCCCTCTAAATTTTTATAATAAATTAAAAGAGCTATCATATCATACAGCAACTAATTTGCATACCGTTTATAAGGCGTTTATAATAATGATACTATGTAGGTTTGTATTGTGTTTGATCATATATTGGCCCATATTTAATGAATGTGAAATATTTTTTTGAAGTTTCTTTAAAAGATAGCTAGCTCACTGAAAATTCTATTATTTTGAATGATATTTCATTATCTTTTAAATTTATATTATTAACATTATTTAATACCTGATGTTTTTCTGCCACATGTTAAACTTCGATCCCCGGTTATGATTAATAATTTGTGCACTTCCACCTAAAAACTATAAATAAGAGCCAATTCAAATATAATATAATCAAATTAATAATGATTTTTTTCATGTGTCCAAATTGTATTTCTCTGCATACGAAAGATGAAAACATGCTTCATACAGATTGAAAATTTTGATTGGTTTAAAAATAGGGAGACATGAAAATCATGCATATTATGCATGTAAAATTAATTGCGACACATACAAATGTAGTATTTATTTGTTTAATGTAGAAGTAACTTCTTGTATAACACGGATAAATCACTTAAAGAATTATACCCTTAATATTGATGTTCTTTACACAAAATCTAAGGGCCTAAATCTTATAAACATAAATTATCTTGTGTAACATTTATATACGAAAATTATAATATCAATTATCAAGATTAAATATTCAAATATTATTTTTTTTATTATATTTTAAAAAATTATGTTATTAAAAAAAAAGAACTATTATTAATTAAAAAAAAATACTTATTTTTACCTTCACGTCACTGATTGAACTATGTTGAAAATTTAAAATAATTATACAAACATTTTTATTTATCATGCACTTTCACATTTAATGATATAGATTTCATTTTTGACCAGCACTAAGGCTAATTTCTGCATTTTACCAGAATTGAAATTGTTTATTTGATAAATACGTGATATCGATATTTTTCTCCAATTATTATAAATAAAAATATATCAGATATTTAAAAAATATAAATATATAAAATAAAGCAAAATAACTTATTAAACTGGAATTTTGAATTTTTTAAAGTCATAAAACTAAGTATTTTTAAGAAGTAAGAACCCAATGAACATCAAGAAAAAAAGTGTTAAATTATATAAATGTGATATTACATTTGGGGTTCCTTAATGTACAGTGAGGGTGTACGATATTAAAGTACGAACTGACCGGAATTAACGTTGACGCTATCACGTGCAAGTGCATAACTCCTAAACTCGGGCCAGTTCGTACGTTAATATCGTACACCCTCACTGTACGTTAAGGACGCCCGTTACATTTGACTTGAATTTTTTTGAATTTAACTAAATTTAGGCCGGCATTATATGTTTGGCTAGAGTTGAAAATTTTGGCCAGAATTACAATTTAAAGATTGATGATTTTAAATTGTTACATTAAATTTAATCAATTTTAAATTATATATATGTATATATACTAGGTAACGGTGACCGTTAAACGTCCGACGCGGGCGTCACGCTGCACGTTTTCCAAAGTGAAATCTTATTGGTGTTATATTTTGCAACGATTATAAACATCACGAGCACAACGCCTTTCACATTGATTATGAGTTCATTTTCTCTAATTTTGCGTTTTCTAAGTGTTTCAGGATGAATAAATACAGGCTGGGCTATCTATTTTATATTTTTAATTTATTATTTTAAGATTTTAATAACGAAAATAAATTACACAAGATATAAGTTATATTTTTTCGTTTATTATTAATGAATCTTAAATTACATGAAGAAATAATCTAAAAACAACTAAATATACTTATGAAGGTTAATAAAGTCTAATTTTAAGCTAATAGTATCGAAATTAATAAGCTAATAGTATAAAAAGTAATAAAAAATATATGTGTCACGTGTATATAAGTCACGTGCGGGACAGACAAACATTGCATGCTTTTGTGTAGAATGTAAATCCCACTCCGCTTCGGACAATTATAGGTCTAAATAAAGATAATGCTAATCCAATTATTTATTTTATAAAATCATAGTACAAAAAATTTCTCTAAAAAAATTTTGACATTTCCATAGATTAATACATAATTTACAAGCAATAAGTTAATGTTTCGTTCATAAATTTCACACTAATAAGTCCCCCTATAAAAAAAAATTCTGGAAAAAACTCCGATAAATGATCACTTTTCTAGTTTTTATTCTGAAGAAACTCAGACCATTTTTCCAAAAAATTTCGTCTGTTTTGAGCTTCAACCATAGTTTTAACTTCGACTTTGACTTTGATATCAAGTATTCAGCCTAATTTAAAATAACAATAATAATATATACGGTTGTGGCTACTGTTATTTATTTGTTTGTTTTTGAGATTTGTTCCTGCATAATGGATCAACAGGGTGTTATTAATTACTATGCATACTATGCAGAAGCAACCTCATTACAATATTATTTGATATAGAAATTAGAAATTATTTTTTAATAATGTTGCAACTTTTTTCCGTAATATTACACAATATTCATATTGCTATTATAAAAAAAAATAACATGCTTTATTACTAAAAGCTAATTAAATTCATTACATAATTTAATTTCTTATTTATAAAATTAAAAAAATGGAGCTTATGTACTATTTAATCCGCGAGAAAATTGCCTTGTTTCAAAAATCTTTTTTGAATGAAGAGTTAAAATTTGAGCAAATTTTAGAAACTCGCAAAGTTGCAAACAGATTATCAATTCATACCTGTTTAATATTACATTTAAAATACACTGTATATTGCTTTAAACCTTAATTCTCTTTTCATTCATGCTCTAAAAAATCGTAAATTAAAAATTTGTTATCACTATAATTGGTTAGAATTACCAAATTTAATTTTTGTTAATTACGGAAAAGTGGTCTAATAAACAACCAATATTACCAAGTTATGATTTAGTACAAGCAACGTACACAAAAATGTTACTACATTTGTGAAAGTTAAATGCGCGTAAAAAATTCTTATACGGTAGTATCCGGTGTTTACCGTGCATAATATTTGAATACATTTTCGTTTTGTGTTCAGTACTATTTAACTTATTTAATATTATGCATAATCCTAAAAATATTAAATACGACAAGATTTTTTTTTTAAAAAATCAAATAATTATTTTTCTTTCAAATATTTATTTTTACCGCATCAAGTCATTAAATAGAATACAATAATCATGTCAAAAAATTTTTTAGTCAATATCATAATATGGATGCTACTTCAAATATTAATTGAAGTAAATAGTCAAATGGTGCCCTTTAAACCAATTGGATATTTCCATCATACTGCCACACTCATTGATAATAAATTGTATATTTTAGGTGGTAGGTTAGAAAATGAAACATCAGCAAAAGACTTTTTTTATCTTGATGTCTCCGTTCCATTTAATACTCAAGAATTGTCATGGCAAGACTTATCAAATATTAATATGGTCCCGCCACATGATTCTGCAACATCAGTTAAAGGTGGTGCGAATAATAATACACTATTTTTGTACGGAGGACATACAACCGATCAAAATATGGCATTGGTTTATACATTTGATTCACAAAGTATTATATGGGATATTCCAAAAATAACTGGAATTAATATGACCAAAAAACGGGGTTTAAAAGGCATTATCGATTATAATGGAAAATTTTATTTATGGTCCGGAGAATATGATGTTAACGGTACTTATGTTATAAATGATATGCTTATTTTAGATACATTAAATCTTAATTGTAAAAAAGGAAGTTTAGTTAATGCACCAATTCCGAGAAGTGAATATAGCGCTACCCTATTACCCGATAATAAGATTATTTATATAGGTAAGCGAATAATTTTTGTAACTTTTATTTATTTTTTACATATGCTTTATTACTAATTTATTAATGGATATAGGTGGTGCGAATGAATCTTGTTTCTTTGGAACAACTCTAAATATTGAAATAGGTGTCGCTTTAACATTAAGTGAGGTAAATTTTGTAAATATTACTATTAATAAACTGAATGCGCCAGAATTCTAAACTCCGAGTAAATTATTTAAATAGATCTATATATATGATACAGCTAACGACAGTTGGAATACAAAAGTAAGTTAGTTATTTTAGTCATTCATTATAGTAAAAATTTATATTGTAATTAAATTTTTATTAAATTTAGATAACATCAGGAAAAATTCCTTCTAACAGAGCGGGGTTTTCCGCAATTCTTGGTATGCAATTAAATAAGAATACTATTATGGTCATTTTTTTAAGATTGAACATTAATTATAAATCTTATTATTTTTAATAGGTTTAGATGGCCAAAGAGTCATAATTTATGGAGGATATTTTAGCAATCCTGGATATTTAGATACTACACTTTATGTATTAGATTTAACTAATTTTAATTGGTATGTTCCGAAAATTTCTGGAAAAATTCCAAAACCTAGAGTATTTCATGAAGCAAATTTAATTGGAAAATATATGGTTATATCATTTGGTAAATATAGTATTCTAAATATAAAAATTAAGCAAATTAAACAAATTAATTTTTTTTAACAAAAAAAAAACTAATTTTAATAGGGTATGGTTATGATAGAACAGTTGAAAGTGATATATTATTACTTGACATTAGCAACAATGAAGAATATGTATGGACGACATCATTTGATCCTTCAGTTCCAAAAAATATCATACCATCCCCGTCACCAACTTCATCGCCCATCCCTTCTCGATCATTGCCACCATCATCACAATTATCCGATAATTCATCAAATAATTCTAATATTAATATAGTTGGTGCAATTGTAGGATCTTTGTTAAGTGGCATTATTTTCTTAATAATTGGATGTTTCTTTTTATACAAATGGAATAAAAACAAACAAAACAAAAAAATTATTTATGGAAATGATAATAATTACAATAATTACAGGCAAGAAGAAAAGGAAATTCCTACTGAAAGAGATTATGAGCAAGCAATTAATAATGAACAAAACATTATTCAAATAAATGACAATGAACCAACTAATGATTATCATGGGCAAGAAATTATTCTAACCCCCGATGAATCAATGATAATTCCAGCTAATGATCATGAACAAACGTATAAAAATGAATCTACAACTAATCATGAACCAATAATTCCGGAATCATTTAATAATAATTATAATGGTGAAAGGTTCTCATTACAAGCTTTTAAAGATGAAATGCTCCAAGCTGTCAAACAAGAAAATCAAAACTTGAGAAATGAAATTCTTCAAGTTGTTAAAGAGAATTATAACAAATAACAATACAAAAAATAATACGGGGTAAGATTATAATTATTAAAATTAATAAGTATATGACTTATTATTTACAGTATGTAGTGTACTTTATATTAATTTAATAAATAAAATGCACATATGCACACTTTGATGGTACACCAACTCAAAGACAAGTATTCCATAATGCGTAACTTATCAGTTCAATTCAATATTATAAAATCACATTGTCTGTATTTATCGTCGTGTTCTTTGTGAAGTAATATTAGTATTTCATACTTTTAATTATGGAAAGCCATCCTTGACAAAAGGTTAATGTCCAAACATCATGAAATATAATATTTAGACATCATGATGTCTAGACATTATCCAACATGATGTCTGGATATCAACCTTTTGTCAAGGACAGCTTTCCATATTTAATTGCAGATCTGCCTAAAATTGGCACTGCGTTACTAATAAAATTCGGGGTTAAATTTGCCGATTTTGTACTAGAACACAAACTTCAAAAAAGGATATCTCTCATAGATGACATATTGACTATAAAAAAAATCATATGATATACTGGTCTCTTATACACATCT